GCTCTCTCTCTCTCTCTTTCTCTCTACCTACCTACCTACCTACCTACCTGGCTGCCTATCTATCTATCTATCTATCTATCTATCTATCTATCTATCTATCTATCTATCTATCTATCTATCTATCTGTATGTCTATATACATCATTTCTATCTCTCTATCTCTCTATCTATCTATCACGCCTGATCGTCACCTTTAATAACTTTACTTTTCATTCTGTAATACACAGCTAAGGCGTTCTTTCCCAATGCAAAAATTTTAATGTTCTCGCAATGTTCAGTCTCATATGACCTTATGCAGTTGCGAGTGCCGTAAAACCTTACTAAATCTAAAGAGTCTCTGAGACCATTCAGAATCAAACAGATAGCTACAGGCCTAATAACATGCATTCCATCATCAACTGGAAACAAAGCCCTACAGTGGTGACTCGTTACTGTAACCTCCTTGCTCCTAAAGCAGAAATCTTTTCGCGATGTTCAGAGCTTCAAAATAATCACCTTATGCCGTTGCGAGTGCAGTAAAACCTTACTAAAACTAAAGAGTCTCTGAGACTCATTCACTTCGCAATTTTAGAGCCAAACCGATAGCTACAAGCCAAATAATAATATGCATTCCGACATCAACAGGAAACAGAGCCCTACAGTGGGGAATCGGGCCTCATCTCTCCCAATGCAGAAATCTTTTCGCGGTGTTCAGAGTCTCATAATATGACCTTATGCAGTTGTGAGTGCTGTAAAACCGTATATCAGAGTCTCATACTCATTTATTATGACCTTATGCAGTTACGAGTACCGTAAACCCTTACTAAAACTAAAGAGTCTCTGAGACTAATTCGCCTAGCAATTTAGAGCCAAACACATAGCTACAAGCCAAATAATAATATGCATTCCGACATCAACTGGAAACAGAGCCCTACATTGGAGGGCGACTCGGGCCCTCATCTCTCCCAAAGCAGAAATCTTTTCGCGATGTTCAGAGAGTTATATTATGACCTTATTCAGTTTCGCGAGTGCCGCAAAACCTTACATATCAGAGTCTCATATTATGACCGTATGCAGTTGCGAGTGCCGCAAAACCTTACTAAAACTAAAGAGTCTCTGAGACCACTCACTTCGCAATTTAGAGCCAACCAGATAGCCAAAAGTTTAACGCATTCCGTCATCAACTGGGAACAGAGCCCTGCAATGGTTGGTGACTCGGGCCTTCTTTTTTTGTAGAGGTATTATGTCGCTCGCAACTTCATAAGGTTATATGACTCGGGCCCTCAGCTCGTCTATGTAATGAAGTGTTGATGAAATTACCTCCGCGGTGTCCTTGTGGTGAGCGTGACGTGACACACCGACCACCACCCCCGGTGTATATCCCCGGTGTATCCCTGGTGACTTGCTGAAGCGGTGGATCAATCAATACGTGCTGGTTGTTGTAATAACGGCCAGCCAGCCATCGTGAGCCACAGTCGACAGATGCACGGACTCCGCCTGTGGCTAGTACAACTACTACTGTAGCACTCACTGCTTTTAATTTTTTGTTTTAGTAGAGGTTTTACGGCGCTCGCAACTGCAAACGGTCATATGAGCACCAAAGATTAAAGGTGTTACAAGAGAGTAACAAACATAAAAAAGAAGGAGGGGAGATTGTTTTAGTAGAGGTTTTATGGCGCTAGAAACTGCACAAGGTCATATGATCGCCAGAAGATTAGAATGTTACAAGAGAATAATAAACATAAAAAAGAAGGAGGGGAGATATAAAAAAAACCCAAGTGCGTAATAAATATTATTATAAACAAAGTCACCACGCACAACTTTGTTTTCGTAAGAGTTTTACGGCACTTCCAACACAATAAGGCTATATAAGTGCCGAAGATTAGAGGTGCTACAAGGGAGCAAAAAACTCAAAAAAGAAGGAGGAGAGATAAAGACCATAGATGTTTAATAGGAAAGAAGAAGCAAACCACTCCAGAGCATCCGCCGACCACCCATTAAATTGCTGTGTACTGGTCATCAGTTGTTGACGGCCTATTGATGCATTATCTTAAGTGTCGGAGTCCCCAGTTGAGTCTAAAACAAGCGACACTTGAGCGGGAAATGGGTTCAGACGACATGAGAAAAATCTTTACAATCTTTTGAAGAGGGAGAGAGAGAGAGAGAGAAAGTTTTAGTTTCAGTAGAGGTTTTACGGCGTTCGAAACTGCATAAGGTCATATGAGCGCCAGGGGGGGATGTCAACAAAGAAGTCCTTACAGGGAATCAGACTTACTCTGCTCACTTCTCTAGCTTCAGCAGCACAAAGTCTGCTTCGACTATCAAGGCACCCCGGAAATAACGGTCACAAGAGTGTGACTAACATACAAAAGAAGTAGAGGAAAATGACGATAGTAAGGATTGGGAAAGAAAAAGAAGCAGTTCCCTGTTGTAGATCAGGCACAGTTATGAGCATGACATTCTTAGATCTGCCCATTTACAATTCTTCAGTGCACTAGAACGAGAAAT